GGCGGGGAGAGGGGCCGGGGTCCGCGGAGACGCGGCTTCTCCGGGTTCTGCGCCCCCGCCGGGCTGTCCCCTGGCTTCTCTCCGCGGAGGCCGTTTCCCTCCCGACCCGTACTCACCGGCCCGGGTCTCGGCCAGGGCCAGGGCCCCCGAGAGCAGCAGGAGAAGGGCCCTGGGGGTTCGCTTAGGTTTCATTTTCAGTTTAAACCAAAATCCCCGAGGGATGGCCAGGGCCATGAACCCATCCTCGGTGTCTGGGGAACTTCTGAGTTCCTGTGGGTCTGTAGGGACTTTGTAATCGGAAAGCGCAGTGACGCCGATTGGCTTCTCCAGAAACCTGACACCCAATGGGAGTGAGGACTGTGGCCGCATCGTGAGTGCCCAGGAGGACGCACTTGACACTGCGAGCGTAAAATGAAACTACCGGGAGTGGCGAATTCCCAACGCTGAACTTCACCCCTTCTTTCTTTTTTTTTTGAATCGGAGTCTCACTCTGTCGTCACCCAGCCTGGAGGGCAGTGGCACTCTCCCGGCCACCGCAGCCTCGACCTGCGGGGCTCAGGCGCTCCTTCCGCCTCAGCCTTCGAAGTAACTGGAACTACAGGCATGCAACCACCACGCCCGGCTAATTTTTTGATTTATTGCAGAGATGAGGTCTCATCAAGTTGTCAGGCTGGTCTTGAACCCGTGGGGTCAGGCAATCCTCTCACCTCAGCCTCCCAAAGTGCTAGGATTATAGGCGTGAGCCACTGCACCCAGACTCTCCAGCCCTCTTTACCTGAGACCCTGAGAGCCACTCCCAGGGACCTGGGACTTTGCCCTGAACTCTCTCCTCCTGCATTGAGTGCTGTTTGTCATACTGTCTTCTTCATTTTTGGCCCGGGGCTAAGTCAGTGGTTCTTCAGGATCTCTATACATTCAGAAATTAGTGAGAACCCAAAGATATTTTGTTTCTGTAGATTATATCCATATTTACCATTCTGGAAATTAAAAGAATTTTTAAAATATTAATTCACTTAGAATAACTTTAATAAACTATTAAATGTTAACATAAATAATATATTTTTATGAAAAATAATTAGTTTCCAAAATAATGTACAGTCCTCCCTCAATATCCGCAGTGGATTGGTTCCAGGACCCCTGCTGATACCAAAATCCCAGGATGATTAAATTCTTTATGTAAATGGTACACTATTTGCATGAAACCTATGCACATTGTGGCCATGGTGGCGTGCATCTGTAGTCCCAGCTACTATGGTGGCTGAAGTGGAAGGATCGCCTGAGCCCACGAAGTTGAGGCTACAGTCAGCTGTTATGCCACTGCACTCCAGCCTGGGTGACAAAGTGAGATCCTGATTAAAAAAAAAAAAAAGATATTCATATCCCACATATGGGGAAATTGATGCAATCTGTAGGGGAACTAATATTGGCTACTTCATTAGCAATAGCTCTAGTGCACCTGACTTTAGACCAATAAAGTATCATAAGCAGTGCTGTCCAATAGAACTTTGTATGTTAAGAAAATTGTTCTATATCTGTGCTGTCTAGTAGAATAGTATGAGCCATGTGTGGCTATCAAGCACTTGAAATGTGACTGGTGTGATTAAGCAGTTAAGTTTTACATTTTACTTATTTAATTAAAAGTCTACTTTGTGTGTGCCAAGTAGCTATCATATTTGACAGTGCATATCTAGAATGTTCTTAGTTTTCAGTTTCTCCCAAAATATACTGTAGGACTCAGATTGAAATATATTAAAATTATCTTCATATGGAAGCCTATGGATTTAGACATATTCTTAAGATACAGCATGCTTCAGAAAGTTTAATAGTTGGAGTCTCACTCTGTTGCCCAGGCTGGAGTGCAGTGGCATGCTCACTGCTATCACAGCCTCAACCTGCTGGGTTTAGGTGAACCTTCTGCCTTAGCCTTCCAAGTAGCTGGAACTATAGGCACACACCAACACGCTCAGCTAATTTTGATTTATTGTAGAGACGAGATCTTGCAAAGTTGCCCAGGCTGGTCTTGAACCCCTGGGCTCAGGCAATCCTTTTCTCTCTGCCTCCCAAAGTGCTGGGATTACAGGTGTGAGCCACTGTGCCTGGCAATTAATATGTATTTTAATAACTAGAGTGCACAGACATTAACCAAAACATGATTTATCACCTCAAGATTGTACGAGTTCAAAAATGCCATCACCAGTGCTAATCCTTGTCTATATTGCATTGGGACTCTGATGTTATGGTTTGCTTTAACCTGGTGAACATAAAATGATAAATAAGCCAGGGGTGGTGGCTCATGCCTGTAATCCCAGCACTTTGGGAAGCAGAGGCAAGAAGATTGCCTGAGCCCATTGGTTTGAGACCAGTCTGGGCAATTTGACGAAACCTTGTCTCTACCATAAGTCAAAAAATTAGCCAGGTGTGGTGACATGTCCCTGCAGTTCCAACTACTTGGAGGGCTGAGGTGGAAGGATTGCCTGAGACCAGCAGGTCAAGTCTGTGGTGGCCGTGAGCGTGCCACTGCACTCCAGCCTGAGCAATAGAGTGAGACTCTAACTCAAAAAAAAAAAAAAAAAAAAGACAAATTTATCCTAAGAAAAATGATGCATTCAGTATTACATATGTCAAGTACTCCATAGGCCCTGTTGACATATTTAAAAAATAACACAAGAGATTTAAAACTTCCAATTCTACTACCCTAAAATTCTTTATCTGCTGCTTCCTCTTTTCCCATATTCCAACAATTTTGTTTTCTTCACCCTCAGACTCCTTTTTCTTCATTATCACAACGTAGAAGGAACTACACATGAAATTTTACAATTGTTGAGTGAAGAAGGATTCTTTAAGCATGACCCAAAAATGAAACCATTAAGAAAAAGATAGTAGTTTTAACTACTTACAAATGTAAAAACTTATCTTTGGTAAGCACAAACACACATATACAAACACTTTTCCCCCAGTCAACCTCGAAGACACATAAAAATGTGTATAGGCAAAGTAATGTGTCTATGCCCTTTAGTCAAAGACCACCAGGAATACATTTGTGGGTGAAGCAGTTGGATTTATTGCCTGTTGCTGAGTGCAAGAATGTGCACTGTGAATCATGTGGTGTTTCATTAAGAGGGTGTTAGAAAGATCTTATTATGGGATTTGGTTTTTGGTTGGTGAGGGGTTTTGTTTGGAGAAGGTGTAAGGAAGCAACTTTATTCTACATTAAGCACTTGTCAGGTAGCAGGGCAATTCTGTATTCGGAAGTCTCAATCAATCTTAGCTCTAGGGAGGGTGAATGAGAGTAGAATAAAACTAATTGGTAGAGAAGCATCAGTTGCTCATATTAGTGGGAAGAGAGGTTAGATAAAATTATGAAGTGTTCTGGTTTTGCCTCACTTTGACATTATCTCAGAGTGAACTTTTTTGATGTTGGTATTTTTTGAGGTGATTATGTCCAACAGGAGCATAACATGGCCAGCTTCACATAACACTGAGGCCCAACTATAAGTGTCAGGTTAGTTCCTAGGTATCAGAGGCTGCTTTTTTTTCTCTCTTAAATTCAGTATTTTAAAATGCCTACATCCTATTTGGAAAATGATTAATAAATATTAAAACACAATTTGGAATAGAAAATACAGGTCTAATAATTAGGTTCGCAAGCCCTCCTAGAAAAAGTGCTACTCACCTCATTGCTGAATATCACTATGGTCACCTTCAATGTACTCCTCTTGGGAAGCTATGCACTGACACCAGTGCCTAGTCCACCCATCAAAGCCAGTTTGGAACTCTTTTTCTGGAATGACGAACAGAGCTGTTGTCATTTGTTGAAGTCTGACAAGTTCGGGAACTTGCCAAGTGTGCTTATGTTGGCAGCATTGTGCAGATAACTGTATTGTAACAATCTCCCTATTCACCTGATCTAGTCCCCAGTGACTTTTTTCTTTACCCAAAGATAAAGGAAACATTGAAAGGAAGACATTAGATGACATTCAGGACATCAAGGTAATACGATGGACATCGTATATGTCAAGGCCTCTGGTGAACCAAGAGATTGACTAGACACTGAAGATACAAGAGGGGCTAAAACAAGATCCTGGTCGTATTGAGCTTGCTCTGCCATGAAGGAGATGGACACTTAGCAGAAGTGACTAGGATAAATGTAAAATTACTACTGAACTCTGAGGGAAAATTTCATGATACCATGAAAGAAGATTACAAGGAGACCCAGCAGATCCCCTGCCACTATTATCAATAATACATAAATGATATAAGAAAATATGTGTCATTTATGAAATAGGAACACACACATAAACTTATAAACAAGAATTAAAATGAACTCAGGACATTAATAATATGATCATAGAATCATACAAACGAATGATTCAATCGATAGATTGGAAGGCAAAAGTCATAATGGAATAACATGGAGGGAAAGGAAAGGAAAGAAAAAACATAAAGATATTATACTATCAATCAAGGAATTCCTGCAATATCACAAGATATCACAAATTCCTGCAAGTTTCATAAAAAAAATGGGCGGTAGGAAATTATGAAAAAAAGTAAAGAATACTGCTCAGGAATTGTAGAAAGAAGGTTGCATTTTGAATGGCCCTAACTAAGTTTTTGCTACAGTAGATAGAAAGAGTTACACAGGTTAGGTGTGGTGGTGCATGCCTGTAATCCCAGCACTTTGGGAGGCCAGGTAAAGGGACTGCCTGAGCCTGCAGGTTTGAGATCAGTCCGGGCAACTTGGTAAGACCTTGTCTCTACAACATATCAAAAAATTAGCTGGGTGTGAAGGATTGCCTGAGCCCAGCAGGTCAACACTGGGGTGGCCATGAGCGTGCCACTGCATTCCAGCCTGGGTGACAGAGTGAGACTGACTCAAAAAAAAAAAAAAGAAAAAAGAAAAAAAATAGAGTCACACCATGGCATATCACAATGAAATTTCAGAAAGAGGCTGGAAAAGAAGAGATCCTGAAAACTTTAAAAAGGAACAAAAAGCAGTGTATTTGGAAACTAGAAGACAATGAGGCAGTGGTTTCCAAATTCCAAGGAAAAATATGTTCACCACAAAATTTTATATCAAGTCAAACAGTATAAGTGGGAGGTAGCCTAAAGACATTTTCAGATGTTTAGAGTTTTACCATTTTGCTTTCCATGCTGTTTTCCTCAGTATACTGCTAGGTGACATGGGAAACAAA